CCCCCCCCTTTCTCTGTTCTAGGAAAAAGTATATGAGTTGTTGACTTCAGCTCGGACGAAGCTGGAAGGATTTCAGACACACATCTCCAAGTAAGTCTGAATGCGGATTCAAGGAGCGGGCAACTTTTGTATATTTTCGTCTATTGTTCGAGAGAGAGAAACACTCACAGCACAGACAGCTGTGTTCAATCCTTCATGATGTTAGTTTACGAAGCCTGGTTCGTTTTAAGCTTGCTTTGGTTTGTTCCCGGCCTCATGTCGTGTAGGTTGTGATTCGGCGGGTGGAGCAAACTCAGGAAATGGGTTGATTCAATAGCCAGGCTCATCCGGTGGTTTGAAGCAGCCAAGTGAAATTGAAGGAAGGGTGCAGCCTTTATTGAAAAAATCAGAGTAGGAATATCAAGTAATAATCAGCCCACGAGCTTGACGCAGGGAGTGATCTACTTTTTATTTTTATTTTTTTAACCCGCCTTTCTTATTTTTATAAATAACTCAAGGTGGCGAACATACCTCATACTCCTGCCTCCTCCTGTTTTCCCCACAACAACCCTGTGAGGTGGGCTGGGCTGAGAGAGAGGGACTGGCCCAAAGTTGCCCAGCCAGCTTTCATGCTTAAGGCAGGACTAGAACTCACCGTCTCCTGGATTTTTACGTGATGGAATAGGAGAGAGAGAGATGGCTGTTGATTCTGTCTTTTCCCACCCACGTTTGCTGCGAGACATTTATGAAGCCCTTGTGAATTACAGGGTTAGAGAGAGACATGCTGTGGCTGGAATAGCTGACTTGATCTCCTCTTCTGTCGGGAGTTTTAAAGCAGGGGTAGAAAGATCTCCAGACTTCTACATAATTTAATTTGGTAATTTGGGTGGATTACCTGAAATTGGAAGTTCAACCCAGCAGGGCCATCTAGGGGAGGGGTCAAAAAAGTTTGACTGCACGGTCATGGATGCCATCTTGACTTTTTTGACTGCTCCTCCAACACAGATGTGCTGTTGGTACGTGTGTTTGTGTGTGAAAGGCACGCACTTAGAATTAAGGACAGAGTTTGTGTTAGCTGCAGGTAGATCTTGTAATTCTTTCGCACCACTTCATTGCTTTTCTTCTTTTGCTTTTATTTTCTGTTTTTTTTTTAATGTAAATATTTCCACTTCCCTTTCTTTGTCTTACATTGCACAACGTCTTCCAGCAAGCCTCAGGCAAGAGTAGAGAGTTCTTTCTCCCCTCTTTCCAACAGTCCCGTGAAGCGATAGGCTGAGCCCAAACTCACCCAGCAAATGTAGCTGGATGGCAATTGAAACCTGGCCCCCTTCAGCCTTCACCTGAACCCTCTGACCACCCCACTAGGGTTCCTAAAAGTCACGGTGGCCATCGTGGTTCGTGTGAGTTGCAATCTGTAAGTCTAGACCACAGCAGGAGGAGACAACGGAACCCTTGTCAGTAAGCTAAAAATCACCCTAAATCTCCCTGTGGATTCTGCTGTCCCCTGAATTAAAAGAATAGGACTTCTGCTGGTGTTGGGCTGATTGAGAGCTATTCTAATACCTAAAGTCCAACCCTCCTTGGACTTTCCTCTCTCCCTTTCCCCAGGTAGGCTGAATTGCAAGTCACTCCAAAGGAAACCATCTTGTTCCGCTCGCCTAAACTCCCTGCCCTGAGATCAAGAGATGATAACCGGGGCAGGTCCCACATTGATCAGATTGTGGAACAATCTGATCTAGCCCTACAAGAGGGACCGGTGGAGCGATGCGTCTTGCCCTCTCTTGCATCAGGATCACGAGAGAAGACGGGCCCTGCCCCGCTCTGCTCGGAGCTGTCTGTAGCTTTGCAACTCGCAGAAATGCAAACTTTTTAAAGCTTTTCCTGGCAGGGATGTGAAGAACTCCTCCTCTTGGGTTTCTCCCACAACGCCTGGAAGCCACAGTTAGGAAAGTTAGGGGCATTCTAGTTGCTGTCCTCAGCCGTAAAATGCCGAGTTCATTTTGGGGAGGGTGGAAGGTTCTGCAGATGTGGTATCAGTTTTTTTTTTCTTTTAAAGAAAAACTGGTCTGTTTAGCCCAGCCATATTTGTTCTGGGGCCTCCCTGGGATCATCCCAACTTTGTTCCAGGAGACTTTTTAAATATAAATTGCTGGGAGGCGGCACACCAAAGCTGCTATCTGCAGAAGAGGTGTTTGTCTCACTCTTGTTTTTCCTAGTGCAAAGCAGTATTCTTCTGGGCAGGTTGGAAAGGCCGTGGAGCCAGCCAGCAGCGGGCCTAGGAAGGAAAATAAAGATTAACTAGGACAGGGCTGGCCAGAGCCACTTAAGAGCCGCTTAAGGAGCCGCTTAAGATCACCTGAGTATTGAGGGTGCTGCTTGCACGTCTTAAATTGAAACGGGCGTGGGTGCACTTGTGTGCAAGAGAAGAGGGGAGGATGCCACACACACAGAAAAATCTAGAATATGGGGTATTGTTAATCCTTGAATGGAAGGCCGAATCAGTATTCCTCATTTAACCCCAGTTGGGCAGTTTGAGACCCAGATTGATCCTTCCTCCCTCCCTTCCTCCCTCCCTCCCTCTTTCTCTTTCTCTTTCTCTTTCTCTTTCTCTTTCTCTTTCATCTTTCTTTCTTTCCCTTTCTTTCATCTGTCTGCCTTGTTCATTGCCATGCCTACTCTGACCTTTCCTCATGTACCTGCCCGCAGAACATTG